TTTGCAAATCGGAATACGACTTACACAATCTTAGCACTGTACCAAACCAATGATATTCGACCGCCCTAAGCAGCCTAGCGTCCCTATTGGCCCTTTTTCCTCCCAGCCCTACAAGTTGATTCCAGAAAACCAGGACCAGTTTCCACTATGCAAATCATTTACTTCAAACATAATTGTTTTTTATACCAGCCAAACAGACCACGTCACACCATAAAATAGGAAATAACATTTGTACATGATCAAGCCAAAAAGTGTTTGTGATCGTGGGAGACTGTGATGAATAAACTGGGTATAATTTAAGAATAGTAAATCTTATATTAATAGTCTATAGGTCAAAAATAAAGCTTATAATAAAAGGAATATAGGTATACATAATCTAGTTACTGTATAGTTATACAATAAGAATATATATAATATTAGCCCATTAGTAGTTCTCAGAAGTTAATGTTAGATTTCGAGATCAATTAGGAGAAATGCTCAGAGACTTCAAATTCATTGAGCTACCATTTGATTCAATTGAAATCTAAATGAACAATGCAGATTTCCTTCATATGTGCCGAAAATGCTTGTCGATCAAGTTGGAATGTCCCCACAAATATTAATGAATCGCATGCAATATGTTAAAATGTTGGGTTGTCGAAGATTGCTAGCAGGGAAACCTAGGCCTAGGTTTTGTGCTAGTCAGCACTCATCAGCAAGGTGTACCTGTAATCTTGAGGGAACTGATACTTGTCAAGGGATTTGAACCCACAGTCTGTCATCAAAACAGTAAATCCACTATAATTTGGTCAAATCAATAGGAACTAATAAACACTAAACCAAGTAAAGAAAAAATGACAGTGCAACTAGCGTAAAAATTCTTAGCAGTTAGCATGTAACGAATCAGTCAATCACAATAAATTAACATAAACTCTGTTACTGTTAAATCAAGATCAGCAATACAAGTCGATGTCTGGGAAGTCATTGTACAGCCGGTCAAGCATGTAAACTCTATTACTGTTTATATCACTTAGAAATGTTTAAAGTAACAAACTATAAAACGGTTTAGTAAGACTAAACTATACCACTGAGCTGATTGTGAACGTGGAAAATGCTTCGAGGTTATGGCTTATATTCGAAATATAAACCAGTCAGTAAGTCCAACATATAACCTGGCACGAATGTACATCTGTTTAAGTTGCCATACCCCATTAGTACTATGTGATGAAGTTGTTAGAGGAAATTCAAGAGTGTTAGAGGTAAATAACAGTATGAATGGCAATAGAAAGATTAGTGTTCAAGTATATGATTCAAGAAAGGAAGAAGGGATATTTCTCCTTGAGGGACCTGAAGAGAACTGTTTTAGTGGTGGTCTTAGTGACCCGAGAGTGTGACCATAGAGCCCAAAGGACAACTGTTTGAAGCAGTCACGCACGACACTTACGAAACGTTTTTGATGCTTAAGCTCCGCGCCTCAAAAAACCGTACCTCCGGAGATGAAAGTTTGTGAGAAGGTAGGATAATGTATGACATTTTCAGGCTTAACCTTTTATAACCCATTCCTTTCGTTATGATAAGGCCACGAAGCTGCAGCTGCTGGTTGTCCCAGGGAAACACCTTACTACTGTCACATCCCTCTGCACTCAGTAGTATGACTACGCCCTCAGACCTTAAGTTGCTGGTTTTAGGTTTACTGTTCTTCAACCAACCTGCTAGGCATGTTAGGATCTAAAGGAACATATGTTCCAGCCAATATAGCTCGGTTGAGTCATTACGATAGGCGAGCCTGTCGCCACGTCACGGTAGCAGCTACAGTCGGGTTGGGAGGTAGTGTTAGGAAATGGGAATAGGGATTAAATTTGGAGTTATTATCACGAACTAACAGCAGCTATAACGCAAAATTCCTAAAATGTTTATCTTAACTCAGTGTTCTATCAAAGTTTGTCATTTATCTTTGCTGTCTCCGGATTGAATAGATAGGTTTAAGACCTCAAGCTTGTTCGGGGGTTGGGTATTATTCAGCTTTACTGTCAATTTATAAAAAAACTTAAGAAAAAACACGATGCTAAAGTTGGTTGCCTGTAGAAGTTGGACAAAAATACACCAAATATAAATGATAACAAGTAAACGATAATTAAACAGCGATTGGTTATGTATTGAATAATAGAGGGACATATTACTGAATTTATACACCATCTGTAGAGGATATTCAACAATGAGACATATAGAGGCTTTTGACTAGTTGATCATGTTTTTCTTGCTATTCTGAACGTACCTCATGTGATACTATTGTTTCTTATGTATGTTTATTTATTAAACGTTTGTTTAGGTGTTCTTTGATATATTTTATCTTGTGTACGATCAGTTTGTCATTTATTCGTTTAATAATTTGTACTATCGTTTTGCTTATACATTATTTCATTTTAACTATTATCTGTATTCATAATGAAACACAGCTATCCTCATTATCATTGACCTACTTAAAAATTGATTTCTCAATCTATTATATATCAACTTGTCCTCGCTAATACTATGATTACTACTACTTCTAAGCCACAAAATGGTGCATATAATTGATACACTGGTTATAATTTTGTACTGTAATTGTGACAATTTAATATTTCAAAAGTTTATTTTACAATGAAATACTTACCAGTTCAAAATTTTGCTTCAATTAGCTAAATGCTGTTTATAGTGATAAACTTATATACTTTTTCCCTGATAATGTTTACTAGTTGTTGAAATGATGTAAACACACAAGCCTTTGACGTTTGTATTTCATAAATTGCGTGAGTTTTAGCTTTAGTGAATTAAATCAGTACACTACTATCATATGATTGTTCTCGTGTTTTTTTTATAATTTGCCTTTGAATAATGAATAGAATTGATTAGGAAGGACGCGAAATCAAATATTCATGATTACGTGACCTTCTCAATATTATGCGCACTATTTTCGTTTATCGATTTGTTATTTGCTTCTATAATTATTGTGAATTATTGAGTGAACTTTATGCACAGTGTATCTTGATATAATGTAAATTGTAGAACACTTCATCATTTTCAGGTGTTTTTTGGAGATTTCAATATTTGAAATCATGAGTCAATTGAAGCTAGACCACCATGGGAAACCTGGAAGCACTGGACGGCCGTTTCGTCCTAGTATGAAACTCCTCAGCAGTGCGCATTCACGATCCTGCACCTCGCGGGATCCGAACCCAGGACCTAACAGTCTCTGGCGCGAGCGCCTAACCATTATACCACTGAGCTGGCATCCATCGGTGTTAATGTTTAACTTCAACCAATCCACGAAATCGCGTCACCGTCATCATTGTCTTCAGTGAGCTGATATCTTACAACAGACCTGGTTGAACTCCACTTGTCACGGCTTCTCACTAGAACTCCAGGAGTGTCTCTTCAATTCAGTCACTAGTGAACAGATGATCATTATCAGAAGGGGTTTTGTGGAGATTTCAGTCATTTCAATAGTTGAATTCATGAGTCAATTGAAGCTAGACCATATATATCATAGGCTTTCATTTGACTCATTGGCTACTATTATACGATTTATCATTCTTAATTTATTCTCAATTTATTAGTTACAGTCTCCTATACTCAACCACTTTTAGCTTGATCTTGCATGGTTATTATTTTCCATTTTATGATGTGATGCTATCTGGTCTGTTTGTATGTCTGAAATATACTGTTTATGCATTGGAATTGGGTATTGCGTTCTGGACTCAACGGGCAGGGCTAGGTGAGAGATTACTCTTTCATGGACCAATAAGGATTCCGATTTGACTCGAGGCTGCTAGTACTGGCTGACGGGTCATTGATTTATTACAGGGACAAGGCTATAAAAGTCGATTTTCTGTCAAAAGTCACATGATATTTGACGGGCCGTGGGACATAACAATTTTAAAATGATCTGTCAAACTATGCCATGTATACTAAGATATTTAAAGTTGACTCTTTAAATATTAAAATGTTACATTTTTAAACAAGCTTTACCATATAATCTAAGTGTATATGTACCTAAATTCTAAGATTTCTATCTCGAATTTATCAAGACTTTTGAAACACACTTTAATATTCGTAGTTCCCCAGTATTGCTGGTTGACATAGAAATAGAGTGGAAAACTTTTAGTGACAAGAGGGATATCCAAACAATTATCCAGTGAATAAAGTCATTGTTAATCTAAATTGCTTACGGGGGTTACAGACTTGCAACTGCTTGAAATAATTGGTTGGATTTATTTGATATTAAAAAACAGATCGCATTGTACTAAACAGTGCGGATCAACTATAAGAACGAATTGTTCCTCTTCAGTATTTTCTGTTTTACTGAGCATCAGAAATATCAGAAGTTAGCAACATTAGGACTACTGGAAAGGAATTGAAATTGTTGATTCATTTTTTCGTTGTTTGACTGTGACCCGAACTTAAAATGATAACTCAACGAAACATGTTTGACTACCAAACCCTACTTTCAGTAATCAACTGAATATGAAGGACAGTGCAAGGAAAAAAAAAGCAATTTATTTTATAGCTTACTTTCCTAATATAATCACCTGCTACTGTACTTTTACGATTTACAGTTTTTAATAAGTTGAGATACCATATATATATATATACTATTGTTATTTACATGTTTTACAATTTTTCTTGATTAATTATTGGCCAAGTTTTTTTGCTCTGTAATTAGATATAAGAGCAAATTGGAGCTGTAGCCTAGTGATCAAGGCGTTTGACTTCTATTTGCTAAGTCATAGGCTCGAAACTCTCCCTAAATACTTAAGTTTTGGAAACTGGGTAGTATCACTAGCTTTTATACTTAGAGTGTGACTTGAAGCCAAGTAAATAAATCTGTGCTTGGTAAATGATGTATTAAAATTAAATATGATATTTTCTTAATATTCTCTTTGGTTATTAAAAGAACAACAAATATAGACTTTTTTGTTGTCCAACTGGTAATATTAGTACTACACACTTTCCCTTCTTTCGTAAATTTCTGACCTTTTTAGCTCCACCACCCAGTAGTAGTTCAAAATATGGGTCAGTTGGTGGATTTATGCCAAATGACTTCCACACTTCAAATAATACTACGTCAAATGCAACTTTAGATGAAGAGAATCGTTTTGATTCATTAAGTTTAGCATCAACTACAATATCAACATCAGGTAAAACTGATGTTAGTGAAGCGGTAAGTCTCATGATATGTTTTTTTAATCATATTTGTTTATATTAGATTTAGTGAATGTATACTTTTGGTGCAATATGTACCTGTATTGACAATCTAAAGATATTTTTAACCATTCCATGAATTTGTAGATAATGTTCGTTGTATATTTACTCCAGTCAAAATATCACTGAGAACAACGAAACTGTGCAGCTGTTTCGTTTTTGTATGAAGGTTATCAGCATTGCACCTCTATAAATCTTTCTGAGATCGAATCCAGGTTCTACGATTTTCGCAATAACGCTTAGCTATAAAACCACTGTATTGAAACGCTACTGAGAATTATAATAAGATTAAATAGCTGTCCAATGCTTTCCGATTTGCAGTGGTACCTTAACTGTACTACCTACAAATGGGACTAATCTCCACAAGCTTCTTCACTTTTCGTTAAGTTTCTAACATTTTTCTTGGTCAAATTAGATCATTTGATGCATCACCGCCAACGAAGAGAAGAGTAGTTTTAAAAACTTAGTTTTATACAATAGATTCATAGTTTTATTTCAATTATTTTGTCCAGTGATTAGCTTTATTTAATTTCTCAAATCAATGTGATTGCTATGTAGAACGACTCTCTTTTGACCCTACTCTTAGTTACTTACCTTACGTATGGTTCAGTTAATATTTTACAATTTTTGGGAAGGTAGGTGTCTAGCATTATCTTTTAAAGTTTGTTTACCGGTCGAATGATGAATTACCATCAGACTGATGTGTTGAAACTTGATGAGTTTAAAAATTGTTGTCTGTATTAGTGGGTAATAAAAATTTTAGTGTTAGCTATTCAAAATGTAACTAGAAGAAAACTAACCTCTAAGTATGATAGACAATATAACTTGATACAACTAGGCGAATCTTGACAAGTGAAATTTTACTAAATTTTCCCTCAAGAAAAAAAGATTTCCAACTTGTAGATTAAATCTACTTGATACTATTTGATAATACTAGCCTAAAAGCTAAGCGTTGATCAGTATAAAAATTTTTTCATTGTAATCATTTCAGCTCATTTGTATGTACATCTTAAATAACCATGTAAAATAAATTTACAGATTAATTAAGTTTTATATTGGCTAGGTATATATGTTTTAATTGGACTATTTTGTTTATCTTTTTTTACTTACATTTCAGGATGGAGCGTCTAGTAGCAGTTCTGCGCCAGGATATTCTACTGTACTCGGTCTAACTGATGACTTCCCTTCACCATTATCCTCCTGTGGTAGTACAAAAAATAGTAAACGAAGCCTTCTGGAATAACGACAGCACTAGGACCACCACCGACAACAACAACGGCATTATTGCCGACAATTAATGATTTACATCGAGAACGTAGGACTGTATTTCGTTCAAAACCATTATTGGTTTTAAGAGGTCATGAGGGTGTTGTTACTGAATTGGCATGGTCTAAAAATTTATTCCTTCTAGCTACTAGTATGGATCATCAAGTGCGATTATGGCATATTAGTCGACGTGAATGCCTGTGTGTATTTAGCCATAATGATACAGTGCCAACAATTGTATTTCATCCAAAGGTATACATTATATATATATATATATATATATATATATATATATATATATATATATATTTGATATAAAAAAAATAGTATTCGCTTAGATTAATGGACTTTACTATCTTATAAAATGTCCTGTAAATTACCACTTGTCTACTAGTTATTCCTCATATCAATAAGATTAAACTAAATGTTGTTGATGGTTGTTTTCGTGTTCTGACACTTTCATTATTTTAATAATAGTCTTACTTATTTTAAATCGCTTATTTACTTCTCTCTTTCTGTCGGGGATATACATAGGGCGCCAACCAGTGATCTTCAATAAACTCTTCTTACGATTATAGACACAATTTTTTGATCAGCCTCTTCCTTTTGCCTTGGGGGTTTCAAGTCAGTGCTGGTTTTATAGTGGAGTTTACTGCTTTTCTTAAAGTGCGTCCTTTCCGCCTTCAGCGTCTTTCCCTAACTTCTGCCTTAGCTGCCAAGCTGGTTTGTTCCCTGCCAGAATGGGTTATTGTTGGTTGTCTCTAGTCAGTGGATCTGAAGTATCTTGCGTAGACAGCTGTTTGTGAACACTCGTACTTTTTGTTGATGATGGTAGTGATTCTACAAGTTCCAACTCCGTACAATAGAACATTTTTAACGTTTGTATTGAAAATCCTGACTGTGGCGTTGGCTGACAGTCATTTTAAGTTCCAGATATCCTTCGATTTCAAGAACACTGCCCTCACTGCCAATCCTTGCCTTGACATCTGTATCAGATTCCCCCTGTTTACCAATCATGCTGTCAGGTACGCAAAAGTTTCTACCTCTTCCAGAACTTTACTATCAAGTCTGTTTTGGTTCTTGCTCACTACCTTGCACTTCTGGATCTTGTTTTTTATTTTGGATATTGAAGCCTACTTCTGCGGAAGATCCTGCTACACTGGCAACATTCGTCTGAACTTATTTCTATGTATAATATAGTACAGTTTAGTCATCTGCAAAATCCGAATCATCCAGCTGAACCCAAAGTGTCTATTGCATTCCATGCTCATAATCAAGGAATTTAATTTATAATAGTAAATTCCATCCATATTTGATTATTTGATAACGATCCAATGTTGTGTTTTGGTCTGTCCTTACTAAATTTATCGTGTTGATCTTGAAATTTTGCTTCTATTCGTTCGGTTAAGCAACACTGTTGAAAGCTTTGCCTGGGACTGTCAGTATTGGGGAGATCAATAAAACTCGAATGAAGCCTAAAGAAGCTATGAAAACGCTTAGAAGCATCTTATCCAATCGGCATTCACCAGAAGTTTGTCAGAAACATCTAAAAAGTGAAAAATCACTTATCGCGTTTCTGATTGGATGATTACCCATACTGCTAATGTGTTTAGTAGCGTTTCAGAATTTTCCGAAAACCCAAGGCCATCTAAAATACTATAAAAACCCTAGGTTTTCTGTACATAAATGAACCTTAGAGTAAAGTGTTTCTCACATATCTCGCACCTTTCCTCTCATGTTCAAGGCGCTGTGTAGATTTTGCCTGAGGGTTACTAGAAGCGTTCAATTAGAAGATTTATCAGTCAATAGTGTGAATCCTCTGTAGTTTTCTTACTAAGCTTTCCTTTCTTTTGTTTCTTGGTGAGGTATCCCTCTTTCCAGTTTCGTGGTACCCTCTTTTCCTCCCAAACCCGTTCGAAAATAATGTGAAATATTTCTGTAGTTAGCTTTTTATCTGAATTCACTGCTTCAGCTGATATCTTGTCCAGTCCTTGTGCTTTCTCACTTTTTACTTGTCCGATGGCATTGCCGATTTTCTTCATTGTTGGAGTATGATCTTTGGGTAAGTTTGCATATAATGCTTCAAGTTCAATAGGTTCAGCTGAGCTGTTCAGGTAATTAAGGTGGTTACTTCGTAAACGTATAATATCGCTAAACTAATTAGCGTTCTTTCATCTTTAATAATTGTCCCCTCTTCCTCTTAGGATGATCGTTATTTTCTTTCGGGTAGTCTGGATGGAAAACTTCGGCTATGGAATATACCAGATAAAAAAGTTCGTTTTTGGGTTGAAGTTCCTGTGCCTAGTGCCTTACCAGTTTCAACTAATTCATCGTCTGCAAATACTGTCGCTAACTTTTTTACACGTTCTAATCCATATACTGGTTCACAGTATACAACATCCTTACCGGGTCTTTCATCAAAGGGAAGTGGTGGTGTTGGACCCAAAACAGTGATCACTTGTGCAACATTTGCTTGTGAAGGCACTAAAGTTGTTGTCGGCACATATGATGGTCGTGTATTATTTTTTAATAGTGAGGTTAGTTATACTTTATGCCTTTTAATAATCTGCCATTTCTAAAGATGTCATTATGTTTCCATTAATGTTGAATTTCATCATTGTTTGATATTAGTTAAAGAACTGATAAATATTAGGAAGGATTATAGAAAGCTGATTCATCCCAATATTAGGACATGTCAGCATTAACATTCATAATTCTGTTAACGATGGGATGTAGGACCTTCAGATCTCGCGGTTTTTGCGCTACCTTTAAGTTAAATTTACAATTTGTATCAATCTACATTATTTTCCCCCTTTTGATTGCATGGTTAATCGCTGGCAACCTTTCGATCAAAATAATGTTTTCAGTATGGGGTTGTGGAGATTATTGAATTTCATTGAAATCATAAAGTTCTTTGGTTTGGGTAGAGGGGTTGAACCCCGTCACAATTCCACACGTAAAAATTGCCATTGTTGTTTTTAAGTGGTATTTTAAAACGTAACTTCATGCAATAATACAGTAGTAGAGATAGATGATCAACTACGTTTAACGTGGTATATTTTTTCCTAGGTTACATTGTCAAGTAATCCTGTGATATTGAACCATTAATGTTCACTTATCTTTATGAGACTTCATAGCTTCCCTTTCTTTTCTATCTGGGTAATTTTATGTTTTTGTTTTATTGTTGAATTTCACAGCTATCGTATATAACTTTTATAACGATCAAATCTGGTGCTGCAAAAGGTCGTCACTGTCGTGTTACGGCTATTGAATGTGATCCGTCTGATTCTAATAAGGTAAAATAAATATTAATAATTATGTTAATAACAACAAATTAGTTTTACGTCGTAGATTGACTTTAGTTAAATACACATTGAAAATTAGGAAATACTGAACGGTTATTTTGTCCTAGTATGAGATACTTCTGAAGTGAGCATTCACAACTCCACCAGAAGTCTAACTCAGGACTTTTAGGCCTAACGAGGAGCGGTCACCCTTCAAACGATTGTGTTGGTATCTGATCCTTAGCAATTCTAATTTCACTTGATTCTTGAAGTTGCACAATCATCATCCGCTGCCAGTGGGTGATATTTGTCACAAACCTGGGATGGTTATTTTCCGCACAATTAGTACATTATATGAATTTGAATGAAATAACTAATCAGATAATAGAAAAGTTTAGTATGATTATATGAATCCCATGTTATTACTGATTGCTTGCTTATTCAGTAGAACTACAATTTATTAGCAAAATGGGATAAAAGCTTTATAAAATCTATGGCCATTCTAGATGTACAATGTCTAGTCACACTAAATTCTCTAGGGACTGATTTTCCAATGTACTAATTAAGTCAGCTGTTTTTATGCTGAGTAAATCATTCTGTATTAGAGTAGACAGTTACAGTTATTCAAAATGTTTCGATCGGTAGACATATATAGATATGTAAGATCTACATTATCTGTTATTTTATAAAATACCTAAAACTACTAGACACTTGGTAGTTTTTTTTGTTTTATATTACTTACTTTTTAACCGACTGTTTAAGCTAAGAAGATCCATTGTTGTCTATTTGACTAATAGACGTAAGTCCAATCACAGTTTATTGATACTGTCATACTCAAACAGAATAGTGTTCCAGCTAGATTGGTTGGTAAAGCCTTTTCCAGTGAAGTATATAGGCCCTTCTGGAAAGTATTCCAGGTTTTCGCGGCTCACAAACACACCGCATGAATGTGGTTTTGTGGGGAACTGCGGCTCCGCAGGTCTGTACGTGTATCTCAGTATCTTAATAAGAACAAGTAAAGGAATTTTTGGTTATTACTTACCCTGGATAGGTATAGTCTACATACATAGGATGTGACACACGTACTTTAATCCGAATATTCCTTGGTTTACCTACAGGTATACCTACCCTGTTAGCAAATATACGTTACATGCACACCGGTAACACACAGGTTTTACCCCATGCATCCCATAGCATATATATATATATATATATATATATATAAAAGTGTATTCACCCACCTGGTAGGGTATATGTTCACCACTCCCTTGGAAACGCATTCGCTACACCAGACTATCTCTTATACATTACACGCGTATCATTCAGCACATGGCTACCGCTCCAGTACTTCCTGACACACTCAGCATAAACATTCTCTCGGGGGAGATTGTTGGCCGCCTCTCCCTAGTATTTGCTACCATATTTTTTATTATGTCTTCCACCTGATATATTAAACCGCTGATTTTATTAGGCATAGGATAGACAGTATTTTAGCTAGTGTTTCCTTTGTACAACACCACATATGCATACGTACATGGAATACATAGGTCCGATGACTTCTGTAATTTTTATACATAAACATACACATCGGGTGGCTTAGTGCGGTTAAGTGAACCTCGATGTGGATCCCGAGTCTATGAAAGATAAAACAGTGGGTGATCAGTTCGATCTTCATCGACCGTCTAATTTGGCTAGCAAGGTTGCTCCTGCTACTCAGCAGTGCCGTGAGGAGGCCTTAGATCGAATTTTGCTGTCAATGAAACAGAATACTCTTTCAATATTAATAAAAGTAATAATAGTAGTAGTTCTACTACTACTACTACTACGCTAACTTCATTAAACTTTTGTGATATCGCTTTCACTTTTTTTTCGTTTCACTGTACAATGTCATTTGTGATGGTGGAGAAGATTTGTAGCTCAGGTGGATGATTTTGGTGGAGTTTTGTTCTCTGAGCTGAATGGTTTGGTCGTGGAGCTTTCATCGTCCTTCTGAACGACATCATCAGCACAAACTTCAGAGAGAAGTGAAGTGTTCGAATTTCTCCATATGTGTTTCACAGCTCTTTCTGTGCACCTCGATAAATTTAAGGTCAATAAGAACCAATCAACATCGAGGTGCACAGAAAGAGCTGTGAAACACATATGGAGAAATTCAAACACTTCACTTCTCTCTGAAGTTTGTGCTGATGATGTCGTTCAGAAGGACGATGAATGCTCCACGACCAAACCGTTCACCTCAGAGAACAAAACTCAACCAAAATGTCATTTGTGTTCGACGCTTTTAAATTGTCTATTTTTATATTCATTCTTTAGTTTATTTATTTTTATAGATATTCACGTCTATTGCTTGTTCATTAAAAAGTGGTTCAGTGATTGATAAATGTATTAATCTTTAATATTATTAATTATTATAGGTTCTCATAATAATAATAATAATAATAATAATAATAATAATAATAATAATAATAATAATAATAATAATAATTCAATTTTATCTCTCCTATAAATTATATAAGGTCACAATTCACATAAATACACATTGTTTTAAATATTGCTTATTAGTTAATTTAATTAAATAAGTATTTGTTCATATCGTTTTATTTTTCTTTAAATGAACTATTTAGTGGCGGCAAAAATATTATTGAAATTTACAATAAATTAGATACTGTGTTGTAGATGCGTGTACGTATGTAGTTTATGCATGTATGCTGTATTCATGTTTTAATTTATTTCATCTTATTCTTATTATTTTTAATGATACTACTTATAAGTTGATTTGATTTTGTCACTTCAAAATAAAAATGTAACAATCAAGATTGTTTAAATAAAATATAAGGATGGGTTTGACCTGTGTTTTATCACTCTGTCTTACATATAGAAAATGTTAAAAGCTGATACATTGGCAGTAATTCATTGAAAATGTAAACATATCTTTAATGATTATGATAATTATCATCTTTTCATTAACTATATATATAACTTAATCTAATCAATGTAATTTGTCCTTTTCCATTGATAATATCTACTTCTATATTGAATTATTTATTAGTTAACAAGGTAACAACAAATAACTTACTATTTCAGTTATTTTTAATAAAATCTAGATGTGTACACTTTTGTCTTATCTTAATTTGATTTTTGTGTTATATGTTATCATTGTAGTGTGACAATTAAGAAATAGGGATTTTTCTTTCTTAATCAATTAATGCATGTTTAAAATTTTTGATAAGCTGTATTTTGATGTTCATTGTTTGACTCCATTCTAGACAAAACGATATTAATTCTAATGAAGTGTATTTTATCCTACTTGATTTTATATTATTTTCTGTCAATTTAACACGATTAATCAAATGTCGAATACAAATTGTATTTATGTTACGTATATTTTAGGCATACTGAAATTAAATGACACACATGGAAGTAAAAGATGAAGCGATTGTATAAAGTATTGCAATTCAGTGAGATACATAGACTCCGAGGCTAATGATGTGATTCAATTTTTGTAAGTCAGATAAAAAACGCAGAAAGGGGATAAAAGCCTACATACTTTTATACATGTTCAGAGTTGCACATGAATAATTGTTAAGGGGAAATATTATGAGTGACAGAATAATTAGGAAAAATTAAATTCATTCATCTGACCATAAGTTAAAATAAATCACTTAGGGATATGACATTACTAACTACTATTATTGTATATTTATTTATTTTAACACATAAATATTGGTACAAGGAGGCACTAAATACATATGCGCCACACAAATCGTCATTTCCATTTTGTTTGTGTGTGGGCTGTGATACTGCCCTGGTGCACAAACCGAAGCAGGTGGTTTTCTTAGGGAGCCACACTCGGAGCCTTCGACCTGAAGGTCTGATCCACAAGGCAATGGAGCATCGTAAGGAGATGCAGTTCCATGGTAGTCGGTGACCAACGACTGGTTCATACGCCATTTGTCCCCTCAGGACACTGGAGCCCATGTGCATCATTGGTTTAAAATTCGAGTTTTCCAGCTAACTCTTTTAGATAGGTCCTCCATATCCACCAACCCGGTTAAAGCGCCGGACATTCCCTTTTCGTCCTCTCAATTTCGTAAACAACACCCCCACCACGAGAAGGCAATGAGTAGGACTTCCCTGGCAGTGTTTGTATGCACGTGGCCATGTGAGAGCATGTTGAGAGGGAGAATGGACTCTCCCCACTCTCGTCTGTACCAGGGCATTTGGGGGCATACTAACTACTTACTACATTACTTTCAGGTCAGATTACTATAGACGCGGCATACAGATAGGATTTGATAAATTTCATACAATATCATTCAATAAACTTAACAAAATGTTAAAAATATACATCGTTAATAGAGAACAGCATTGTTGTATATTCGATCATCCTAGAAAGTCTATTAATAATCTATGTGACTAAGTTTCATAGGATTCCCCTCAAAAGTTGTCAACTAGTATTGAATTTTAGCCAGTACTGTGAAATGTTTTCTAGGATTCTATAACTATCATATTATTGTTGCTTATCTCTAGATTTTAGTCACATCAAATGACTCACGTTTACGTTTAGTCGATGCTCGTGACTATCATACATTATGTAAATATCGTGGGTTTCTAAATGAAACTAGTCAAATACGTGCATCTTTCAGGTAAGTAGGCAGTTTATTGTTGTTGTTCTTCTATCATATTTTTATTTCTATTTTGGTCTTTTCTTCTTTGCTAGCTTATTTATCCTGTTTTATATTATTGTTTTTCCCTAAATAACATCTTTTTCAGCGTTTACAATTCAATAGTCGGAATATATGCATATATTTTCATATTCCTAAACATTGAATTGCTCTGTTTATATGGTATGATTTAATGCCATGGAGATTGGTTTTTGATCAGTTTTGAACTTTTAGCTTTATAGTTAGTAGACTGAATGATTAAAATATTTGGTTAATGTATATATATTGGTTGTTTAGATCCTCTCACCAATGTATAGGGCTCCATTTGATCAGTCTCTTCTTGCCATTTGTCCATCATGTCCTGAGCTAACGGTACTGGGTTCGAGTCCCAGGGTGAACATCAACTCTAGGGTGCATATACATGCAACTGACCAGTCCCAAATAAAAAGAAACGAGCACCCTGAATTCCGCTGCTAGCCACCATCCATATTTGGTTAATAATTTCATATGAAAACTCATTCAACTGTCACATACCTTAATTAAACAAAGAGAAGATACAAATAGTATATACTTTGTTTATCGTCTAATTTTTTACTTGAGATAAACAATATATACATTTTGGTTAGAATGGTTCGAAGATATCATTTGTTGAAACTGTATTTATAATAGCAGTCTATTGAAAAATAGAAGTAGATTGTCATTAAATATTTGAGAAATTCAAGTACATCAAAACGGTTGCATAAATAGTCCAAAGATGAAAAAGTGTAGTAGAATCAAAACATCTCACTGATCAGAAGTATGCATTGTTTTTGCACGTAGAGTTCAGGCTTGAAGCGCTGAATTGTTAAATCATATACAATTTGCACGTTTTTTTATTCGTGTTACGTTTGAAGACTCGTTTGATTGTGTAAATGATTTTAGGAGATAATTCGATGGAGGGGAAGAGGAATATCAAGCACTTCAAAATAGTTATTTCTTCAATTTAGATTAATCATAATATTCTCAACTCAACTTTTAGCACTTAGAGATTGGTGTTCATTGGTTTCCTGATTGGTTTTTACTATCATCGTAAATTAACTGTAATTTGTTATTTGATTTATGCTGTTTAAGGTTTGTTTAAACTAACACTTTTATTTGCTTAGGTGCTATGTACTCCGTTTCACAATTATGTGTATATATAAGTACGATATTGAGCTTCCTTATTGAAGTATACAGTGTATGAATTAAGTAGTTGAGAAAATACCATTTCATAATCTGTAATAAATTATTTGAAGTGTGAATAAAACTAACTTCTTAATGGTTATAAAAATTGCAATATCTTAAGTGAAAAGTGATTCTTTCTATAACTGAGTCATTTCATAGTTACTAAAGTTAACCTTCCTCTTTGAGTTCATATATTTCTAATTGTTATGTAGAATGCTTTTAAGATATTGATATAATAGTACACGTTTTTCAAATTGTTTAAAACCATGTATAAAAAGTTTCTCAGTGGATTATTATTATTGATGGCTTTATTCAATATTATATTTTGATACAATATTGAATTCTCAGCACAGGGTATTTCAACAAGTTTCTTTTACAAAAAAACAAAGACAAAAAAGAAAGGGAAAAAAATGTTTTAAAAAAAAATCTGAAAACTGTTCAACTTTCCAAATTAGAGACATGTTAAGAATGCATGTTATTGACTAAGTTAACTCTAACAACCTGTTCGTCACAGAGTATATTTGCTAGGTGAGGTATTATAGAACTTTTATACTTTTGCTTGCGCGCATGGATTTTAATGTAATTACGTTTCGTTCTACCAGAAGATATACAAGGAGAAAGATATGAGTGAAGGGGATGGTTAGTATCTGATAAGATAACACCTGCCAGGAGTTTGCATGACTTTAGATGTCTATCCACAACCATATTAATTATGACCTCAAAAGATTTAGTAAGTCAGACGGAAAACTTTCTTCGATAACAATAAGACGTGAGAAGACCAAGAGAGATCAGAGGAAAAGGTAACACCAAGATCATTGACCTTCGATACTGTGTTTATCAAGGTCTCCAACGGCACAAGCATTATGGGATCCCAAATTTGAGTTTAGATGCCGTTCGTGTCTCATGCTCAAGTTAACGTCTTGACATTTAGACGGATTAAGTATGAGAAAATTAACAACAGACCAACAATCAATACGAGACAAAAACCTGTAGATGAAGGGAGCATTACATCAGATGACTGACGTACAAAAGACTTATTTAAGTCACAAACATTCAGCTGGTTATCGCTCCTAAACTGTCTGTCACCTGTAAGTTCTTTAAAGAGTTTCCACATACTTGGAGAGTTTTTGAGCAAACATAGAGTTGAGACATCTAATCCCTAGGTTTATCAGACCATTTAGCTTATGAACTTCATTAGAGTTTTTATCCTCGTACATTCTTCCACTCTGCGTAGTCGTTTTAGTTGTGATGTAAGTCGATCAAAACTTACAAAAATGGTTTCAGTGGTACAACAAATATCAAAGCAGAATTTAAGGTAACATGTGGTAACATCAGTAGTGTTTTCCAAGTGAGTCATCTGTAAATAATTCCCAGTTAGTCGTATTAAACTTGTTTTTCAAATCTCGGATATTTTCTTCTGAATAATTCCTATATTTGACTTTCTTGGTTTGATGTAAGAGTGTACTCTTCCCATGCTTTCCATATACTTTAGGTAGAATACGAATTATACAGTGATCCGAGCTAGACAATGGAGCACGTTTACGAGTCACATATATACCCACATCATTAATGAAAACGAAGTCTAAATGAGCATCCAAACGAGTAGGAAAATTTACTACATTTCAGTGACCTAGTGATGTAAGGAAGCTACAGTCACACGAATTGAAATCACCACATAAGTAATGATACTATTTGGCTGACTGATAACTATTCGTAAAACTGAATTATTATTGTAAGTCATACCTAAAATGTTAGTTAAATACAACACAATTGACTAGGAGAATAGGTTTTTCAATCGAGATCTAAACATACTTATGTATAAAATATCAAATTTTAAAATTAAACATTATTAGAATTCATTAGAAATTTAATCGATTGGAGAATGTGAATTTTAACAGGTCACTCACACAGTAGATAACCTTAGTATCTGGTTTTATTCTCCGTTACCCATATCAATAACAATGACCAAATGTAAATTAAAGATCAATCTCGTGATCATGCTTATTGATATTATTTATAAAGGTTACTCTTTCATATATTATTTTCAATTCCCAATCTATTGATAGTGAGTTATATCTTTCATATTTTCTTAAGGATTTTATGTTTATTTGTTTGTTTTGTTTTCATTTTGTTTGACGATTAACAACAGTCCAACTGGTCGTTATCTAATCTCAGGATCCGAAAATGCATTCTTTTATATTTGGCAAAAATCTTTAGATGTTGACAAGATATCTCGATTTTCACGTATACGTAAAGATAGAAATAATTGTTGGGAAGCGATTAAAGCACATGATACAATGGTTACAGTAGCTGTGTTCAGTCCAAATCCAAATTTAGTATTGAATAAATCATGTTCAACAAGAAAACCATTGAATCCATTCACTATTTCAAATCAGTCTGATTTGAGTAATAGCAATTGTGCTGGTGGTTATATTAATGATGGTAGCAGTAGTATTCCTCGTCATAGACTATTAAATCCAAATCAATCATCAATTACTACTACTGATCTAAATCGGGAAACATTTATATACTTAGGTGAAGTAGTCGTTTCAGCTGATTGTAATGGTTGTATTCGAGTGTTCAAAAAGTTTTCAACTGAAATTACACAATCCACATGTAGTTAATATTTGAACAAATAATGGGTTAAACAATTCAATCATTTCTCCTGCATATATTCACTTTGTTAATGTATATCATCTGACTACTATCTATTTGTAAATACTCTAATTGATTTCTTTTTTTACATTTGACTCCCCACTAGTAAAGTTGTATTTGTATTCATTTCTTTTTAGTTCTGTAAAAACCAATGAGTATCTTTTTTATTTAAATATTTTCTGGTAATTTCTATCAATCAATTTATATAACTTTTCAGACGGGGGGTGCAATTTCAAAACGGATATTATTAATTCAATTAGCTAATTCTCTTTCCCCTTTTCATATGTCACTTAATGAATTGGTTGTTATGGAGGGGAAAAAAACCAGTAATAGTATTACCCCTAATATATATTATTCTTATCATCATTTGAATATAACTCATTTTGTGCATTTTTCTTTTAACTTTTCACACTCAATCAATATTTTTCGTTAGGTGATATTAATTTTTTTCTCTTTCGTATATTATGTATCTATGTGTCACTTTCCCTGTTCTAGTTAATGTGATGGATTTAATAAAAGAACAAAACAAGTGGATCTTTGTTAGTAGTATATTATGTTACTATTGTTTCAAAATGATTATAATCTAATCTATGCATCATTTTTATTTTTAATTGATTTATTTTTTTAATAGGAAGTTTTGTTTATTATTTTTTTGTTTCAATATTTTAATAACAAGAAACAATTTATGCATTAAATAAATGATAAATGCTTTAAATGATTCAGTGTATATGTATTTGTTTTAATAGCAATACACTATTCATACAAAGTTAAAGGATACCAATTATAGGAAAAATAGTTGAGGAAAAAAGTCGGCTTATTTTACTGAGAAACATACATATATAATGCTTTATGAAATTTGCTTAGATGTTTACACACCAAAATCTTGTTCTTGTTGAGCTCTGTCTATCAAAGTGTAAACACTTGTTCAACATGATGCACATCGAATCCCTCAATGTTCGGTTCAAACGTTTGCCGTTTAGTGTCATCAACTGCTCAATATTGTTTTAGGATCTCACTAAATGATTAACTACATATCAAATAACTTACACTTATTACTTCCAGTCGAGCATAGACCGCCGATCAGCATTCTCCAACCCACTCTATTATGGGCCTTCCTTTCTAGTCCTATCCAATTTTTGTTCATTCTTTTCATATCTGTCTCCATTTCTCGACATGGTGTTTTCTCTAGTCTTGGGGATTTCTAGTGGGGGCTTGCCTTGTGACGCAGTTGGGTGCTTTCCTCAATGTGTGTCCTACACACTTCATGATTTTTTCCTCCGCTGGGATCTGATTTGTCCTCCCCCACGATACATCGCTGCTGATAATGTCTGGCCAACGGATTCGAGGTATTTTGCGTAGACAGCTGTTAACAAACACTTGTATCTGCTGGATGGTGGCTTTCGTAGTTCTCCAGGTTTCTGCCCCATACAGTAGAACTTTCTTGACATTTGTATTGAAAATCCTGACCTTGGTGTTGGTTGACAGTTGCTCTGAGTTCCAGATGTTCCTCAGTTGTAAATATGCTGCTCTTGCTTTGGCGGTCCGCGCCCTCACATCTGCATCAGGTCCACCATGTTCATCAATGATGCTGTCCAGATATTTAAAGGTTTTTACGTCTCCCAAATCTCTGTCGATTGCGATTGGACTGGTGCCTGTTGGTCTCGAGGTTGGGCGTCTACGGAGTCCTTCCATTCTGTTTAACAATACCCTGTTGAAGACTTCCCCTGGTGTTGAGGGAAGAGTGGTGTCTTTGTGGTTTTCACACTTGCTTACATCTTAGGTATCTTGATCACGTGTCCTCTCCAGTCTGTTGGTGCTTGTTCTTCATCCGAAATTTTGCCGAAGAGAATGTGAGGTATCTTTGTAGTTACTGCTAAATCTGCTTCCAGTGCCTCTGTCGTAATGCTGTCTGGTCCCGCTCTTGATTTGTCTGATGGCCATGCTGATTTCTTCAGTTGTTGGTGGGCCAACATCGATTGGTAGGTCCGTGGGCGCTGCCGCGATGTTGGGTTGGTTCAGTCGGGCTGGTCGATTCAAGAGTTCTTTGAAGTGTTTTACGCACCTGTTTCGTCGTCGTTCAAAGTTTATGATTACCTTTCCTTCCTTTTCACTGTTCGTTCTGTTTTGCGGTAATTTCCAGAAAGTTTTTTTGTCGTGTCATACGGTTGTTTCATGTTTCCTTCTCTTGCAGCCTTTTCCGCCGTCGTTGTTAAATCTTCTACATATTTACGTTTGTCAGTTCTCATGCTCCTCTTCACTTGTTTGTTCTGTGAATTCAGCTTGTGCCTTGGCTTTTTCTGCTCTTGTTCGACTGGTATTGATTGCTGCTTTCTTGTTCCTCCTTTCTTGAATCTTATCCAGTGTACCAACAGTGATCCACTCCTTGTGGCGGTGCTTTTTGTGGCCCAGAACCTCATGGCATGTTGAAGTGATTGCCTCTTTGATCCCCTTCCAGTTGCTCTCCACAATAGTTCCTTCTCCATTGAGGAGATCATGAAAGGCCTGGAACTTGTTGCTGAGGACTATCTTGAATTTGTCGAGTTTGTCAGTATCCCGAAGAAAAGCCGTATTGGACTTTTGTGATATTGTCCGCCCCGTTGTGCAGTGCTTCTTAAGTTTTTTTTGATCTTGGCAACCAGCAAGTAATGACCCGATGCTATATCAGCTTTTCTGTTGGTTCTCAAATCCTCCATTGTCCTCCCAAACTTTGTGTTGATGCAGATATGGTCGATTTGGTTTTGTGTTGTGTGATCCAGTGAAGTCCATGTTGCTTTGTGTATGCGTTTATGATGGAATATAGTGCCATCACTTTATTGAAGGCATATGGGCTTGCAAATCTCTCATCATTTTCGTTCCTTTCTCCCAATCCATGGTGTCTTCATATCCGATGTTGTCCATTCCAATCTTGACTTTTAAGTCTCTCATCAGAATGGTCAAGTTCTTTGTTAGGCATTTCTCGACGATTGACTGCAGCCTATTGTAGAATTGATCTTTAGCGTCTTCATTGTAGTCGTTGGTAGGCGCATAGCATGGATGATGTTCATTGAAATGCCCTCTTTCTTTGCTTTAAACGACGCTTTGATGATCCTTGGTCCATGAGATTCCCATCCTATAAGTGCATTTTGCGCTTGTTTGGACAGCATCAATGCAACTCCTTGTGTATGTGGGGCATTCTCATCATGGTCGGAGTATAACAGAAGTTCCCCTGAAACTAGTCGTTGTTGTCCAACTTTCGTTCAATGTGTTTCACCGATCCCAAGCACCTCTAGGTTGTACCTTCTCATTTCTGCAGAAATTTGAAGGACTCTCACGGTCTCCCAAATTGTACGAGTATTCCATGTACCTAAATAAATGGTTGCTCTGGTTGTCAGAAGGGGCATCGGCCTCGTGACTTCCGAAGGAACCCGGCTGTCATCATGAAGCGTCATAACTCTTCTAAATGAAGATCTTCTGACTCCTAGGGTAGAGTTTACGTTTGAATTATTTTTTCTGGTTGGCGTTTTTTAGCGAGTTAGTTTTCTAAGGGATGGGGTCTCTAACCCCAAACCTGCTCTTTTTTGTAGGGCGTAGGACAGGCAGCAGCTTAAGAGGGGCTACAGGTGGAGTTATTATCAAATAAACAACTACTAAATGATGTTCATGTAAAACCGGGTTATATATTCATCATTTTTAACGCAGTATTGAATGGTCCGCACACTAATATCGGGATAAATACGGTATTTTGCACATCGACCAACGTCAAGTACCGGAATATTCATGAAAATCAGACTCGCAGTACGGATATGCAAATACATGGTCATCTGATAAACATCATCGTCTGTAAATACCCAGTCTAAGCGCGAAAGCGTCTGACTGTTTCTCCACCAAGTTGCCGACTTCACATGTTCGAATAATCCTCAATGTGGTTAAGTAATCGAGCTTCAGTAGAGTTTTCACCTTCATTATACATATGTTCCGTGAAATTGACTTAAGGAAAAATGAAGTCTCCTAGGATCAGTATGTGAGTGAATCCGAGACGAGTAGAGGGGGACACCTCGAGGTGGTGGACAATCTTACTGAGCTCCATACGGTTTCATAAAGATTTCTAAACTCTTGATTATGAACTTGGTGTACCTTCAGGCATGATCGTATGTATAAGTCTACTCCACCCCCAATTCCTGTTTTTTTTGTATTGCTAGTTCCTGGTCCGCAAAGTAAGAAGATATCTGAGTTTCAGATATTCCTATCAGATGAGCATTATTAGCATTGTTGAGTTCACCTGCTCATCTATTTTATTCGATCAACTCGTGTCGTTCATTTATAAGCAGTTTATGCTTTCAATTCGAAACGCGTTATCTTCTCATTCTGTTTGTCTGTATGAGTCTTATGTGAATAGACAAGTAGCCTACCCATACAAGGTTTTCTGAGTTGGAAGTCCCTATTCTTTCCGCGTTTTTTTATGATCTAGACAATCCACGAGTGAAGTGGTCAGCTCCAACTTGTCTTTGTGCTTCATCCCGGCATCATGTGGCCTATCTGGGTGCATATGGATTCCAGTTGGCAACCGGCCTATGTTGGCACGAAGTGCTTCAAGAGTTGCAGCCGCAATATGTGGGGATAGAGAGGTTATCTCCATCAGCCAGTGTCTAGAATCTCCATCCTTCTTGCCAATCTCGCCACTTGTTGAGTCAATATATTTTTGATGAATGTTTTGATGAATTGTCATTTCCCAAATATCAAAGTCCTTGTTTTCCGATACGCCATGCACAATGACGCTTCTTCCGCGGAAAAACTTCTCGCGAGATCCTTTAGGGATATTTCGGATGAGATTGCACTCAGAATACAATATGTCGAGCAGTATTCCTACATTCCCATCTGATTTCAGTAAGTAACTAGCTATTAGTATGTCCTTTACATCTGTAGCTTTAGCGAGTGTTACACGGAGCAGTCTTGGGTGGTTAGAGTTTTTTCCCCGAGTGAGCCGTGTGACCATAATAAGCTCTGTTTTTGAAAGTTCCAGCATATTGTCTAATTCTTCCCAGAGCACCTTATCATGTTTGCCCTGCAAACTGAGAGGGAGATCAGGGCTGTCTTTAAGGTTTATGATTATGGAAGAATTATCGCGAACCGTTATTGTGTTCACAGGTTTCTTGGTACTTTTGGGTTGAGGACCTTGTTGTTCGGAGGTTGAAGCCTGTTTCCCATTCCTAAGCTCTTTGCTGATCGGATAAACACTTGTGGGCGGGGGTAGAATGCGAGGCCAAATCATCAGCTGATTTCACCACAGTACTTGGGTTTTCAGTTTCTTAGACAGTGATGCCCGGCCCTTTTTAACTTTGTTGACTGGGTCCAAACACCTACAAAAATCCTGCATATATTTGATTATAAAGAAATAGCGGTACAATATTAATATGCAATAATAATAGAAATCTGCAAATAAGCAGTTACCTAACATATGTTTAGAAGCATCGGCAAATTGCTTCAATTACTTAACCTAGTAGTCTCCTATCAAAACTAACTAAATGATTTGTGATGGGTAGTGGCTATTAATCCAGTAAAGACCAGAGATTTTGATGAGATTGTAGTGGCATTGGACCACAACCGCACAATCCTCAAAGCTGAATACGAGATTACTCAGAAAATAGATATTCAATATTTAACGTGGAGAAACACCTAACGATGGAGAAGGCGGGAAGTAGGTATTGAATGAATTCGAGTTGATCGGACGGCATGGCTCGGCCATGTAGGCGTGATCCATCTGAATGTTACCTCATACCTTCTATTCATATTAAATATATTGTTCCTTCTGTAGCCTAACCTTGTTCTACATCATGTATTGGTAATTGATACGATACAGTGAGTTGGTGTAGCCGATGGTGTGACTTCCACGTAAGGTCTTATAGATTAGGCAGTTATATCATGACAAATCTACAAATTTAGGATTAGGTCTATTATTAGAGCAGCACTAATATCATAGTAGACCATAGCTTTACAGTGTAAACCGAGAGCTTCAGTACTTCTGCTGGTTAGGACAAGAATATGCATCAGCCATCTGGAGTGGATGTTGGTTTCTATTAACGTCATCGAACAAGAAAGTCATTGGAGTTGGACGGAGAACATTTTAGACCTATTAAACTTCTAGTTGAAATAGCAGTTGAACGACAGGCAGCTATTTGAGAATGTACTGATAACCGGGAATGACATTATCATACTGCAGACTTAAAGTTTATGGAGAGCCTTATCATATAGATTTAGACTGAACTTCGATTTTGTCTGGAAGAACTAGTAAATTGTTTGCTCCTTGGGATCTGCTAGTTAGTGGGTGGTTTACTACCGACTATGGAATACTTGAAGAGAGTAGCACGAAGGTTCACACTCCTTGATTGTTTACATTAGTCGGGATGCAACCCTCTTGATACCTGAGTTGCATTTGATTACAGTGATGATCAAATGGGTTGAGTGCCATGACCTACAATGACAACACTGAGATTCAGGAGACCTCGTTGCCCAGAATGGGGACTTGTTCTCGGAAGTTGTGCAACTATATGATGGAAATGGGGACAAGCAATCAAAAATAAACAGATGAAATTGATTTGACATTAGGCTGTTCGCGAATTCTGTTTGTAGCCCTAATAGCCACCTGGGAGTCATCCGTTTCATCAATTATTTCATAGACATAGCATCATCCTTAACCATTCGCTTAAAAAATTTATGAAAGTCTGTTCCAAATACCGAACCTAAAACCATACTTGCTGAGGCTTGAATTAGGTTTTTCATTCTGTCCATAACCCTTTGAAACTGTCCATGTAAAACCTGGGAGCACTGCATTGGATATTGAATCAAGAGTTTGAAGTGTTTGACCTTACAGATACTATGACCACATTTGATTTTGGTGAAACTCCGAAAGATTTACATGTGCTTACGACTTTCAAAAGCCTGTTGTAAAGGTTATGTGGTGTTTTGGTGTTATTCACGATGCCATCCCTAATTCTATGGATAGGGTTTTGTTCAAATATTCTTGTTCTAGAACTGACACTGTTAACTACATAATAATAAATATATTTGTTAGACGTTGGGTGTGTTAATAGTCTTATTGTTTTTGCAAGATGATGGCGATGCCGATAAACTCAGCCTTGAAATTAAAACTGGATGAATTGTTTCTGAGATGGCTAACGGATAGAGCTACTCAGAAGGTACTACGAGAGAATCTAATGCAAGCAAAGGCAGGACAATCTCTCGAAGCAATGCTTGCACTGCCTACCGGAATAGTAGTTGGGCCAATGTCTGCATCGTTCTACGGATGTCTCTACAGTCCTAGCTACAGTGAGTCCTCCTGCTTAAACCCAGATGGCTCTTACAACAATGTTCCTTCGGCCTTCACCTGGGGCGGGACAATTACGTCTCCACGTCCAAACACCCCACCATACTTTCCACAACCTCCTTTCTCGAAGTTGTACAGTCCTCGCTCTCCTCGACGTCATGCCTCTACACCGAGTGGTCTATCAATCCAGATTGTGAAAGTAAGTTACGTCTGTGCATGGCATGATTGTTGTATCCACGAATTGTTTGTGAACCCATTTGTTTATTTTAATACAATAGGTTGTAGGTATTCGTAGCCTTTTCATGGTACGACCCAAAATGACAATACAGGTCTCGTGGAGTCTCAGATGAAATGACTCCTCTCTGAGTCGTGTTACTCACTGATGTAACGATGATGTTAGTCAGATGACCATGTGTTTGCACATTGGTACCGCGAGTTTAATTTCCATGAGTGTAGTGGTACTTGACGTCGGTCGATGTGCAAGTCGCCATATTTATCCTGATATTAGTGTGCCGACCACTCTATACCGCGTTACTTAGTTGACCATGATGACTGCATACTCCGTTTTTGCATGAATATCATTTAGTTTATTTGATAATATTCAGTCCTACCTCGTTTTTGTGATGCTGCTTATTTTGATTTATGTACTTAGTGTTTTAATTTTCCAAGGTTATTAGTTTGTATTTGTTGATTATAAACATTTAACTAGTTCTTCTGTGTAAAGTTTCACTCTGTCTCACTATTTTCAACTCTATTTGCCTTAAATGGCTGACTTTTGAGTAAACGTAATAATGACTAGGCCCTGCCATAGTTTGGTTAAGTTATCCAAAAGTTGATAAAACTTGAAAAAATAGAGGTCGCTATTATGAGACTTAAAGTAAATTAAGACAAGAAGTTTAACTATATTTTTTCACTTTTTCGCTCTTAAGTTACTGAGCCAACACTATAAGTTTCACTTCAGTACACAAGTTAATATGAACATCTTTGTAACAGTCCTTCATTCTGTCTTTTACCAATATTTGTCTGTTGTCTTGATTTGTATTATTTTGTGTCTGCATTTTAACTAAAGGACAGGGCAATTACTTGCTTACACAGTTGCATTATATCGGACGATGCTGATCATTTCAATATGCTTACTGACTAAGAATGAAGTTGATTACCCAGTGACCCCGTGCTTAGGTTCTGTCAGTCAGTCAGTCAGCTACAACGTAGGACCAGGCACATATGTGCATCGGTCCAGGTTGCCATACCGCATCAGCACAACAAGATGAACACCGGATTCATAGCAGTGGTTAGGTCAAAGGTGGTAATATATAAGAGAAAGATTGCATATAGAAATATAGTACAAGAAGAAAGAATTGGTTCGTAGAAAGAAAGATATGAAGTGATTTTAATCTCTTAGTTTAACGGAAGACAAAGAGTGTATACACCGACGCCATTGTGACCGATTCTGAGCCACGTCACCAAGAGTCTCCAACCATTGGTTACGATAGTCACGCGGACCCCAACCAAGTAGTCTGCATCTACCAACATGGCTCAAACTAGAAGTTAGTGTCTTCAAGCACTGATGCCATGTTTTGGTTTGGCCGCCCCTAACTTTCTTCCAACCATCTCCAATACCGCATAGCATTGCACGTCGTGGTAATCAGTGTTCACGCATACGTAACACGTGACCCAACCACCTCAGTCGATGAAGGTTCACAACCCCATCAACTGATTTACCATCATTCTTTAATACCGTGCATCTAACCTCACTATTACTTACCCGGTGATCCCAGCAGATATGAGCAATATTTCTAAGGCATCTGTGGTCAAATACTAGTAGCTTACGAGTATCTTCTACTCTTAATGACCATGTTTCGCTGCCGTAAATTAAAACAGAACGAACTGATGCGCAGTATACTCGTCCGTTAATTGATAGACGGATATCTCGCCTTCGTCATCGATGACGTAAGTTGACAGAAGCCAAATGAGCTTTTCGAATCCGTGCTGAGATTTCGTCAGACACCAACCCATTAGGGCTGATCAGACTTCCAAGATAAGTGAAGTTGTCAACGCGTCTGACTACTTCACTCCTTATCCTTAGTTCATGTGTTGACGCAGACCAATCCTGAAGCAGCAGCTTGCATTTAGAGGGAGAGAAGAGCATTCCAAACATTCTGGCATTGTTGCTTAGTGCTGCCAAAAGACTCTGCATTTTATCAGCGTCTTCACCAAACAGGACTATATCATCTGCGTATTCTACGTCGATAAGTGGACCTGTTGGTAGGAGATCAATACCCGAGAATTCAGTCGACGAGAATGTTATTTCCATTTGTAGGTATATGATGAAGTTAAACAAGAATGCAGAAAGTGGACAGCCTTGACGTACACAACTTGAGGTTGCAAAAGCAGATGACAGTTCGCCGTAAGCTCTGACTCGACTGTTAGTGTTCGAGTAAAGAGCCTTCACAAGGTTTATGTACATCTGAGGTACGCCTTTCAATGACAGACACTGCCACAGAATCTCGCGGTCTACCGAGTCAAACGCTGCTTTTAAGTAAAGAAAGACCACCATTGTCGGACGCCGATAAGTACAACTGTGTTCTAGAACCTGACGAATGGTGAATATGTGGTCGATGCAGCCACAACGAGGTCTGAAGCCAGCTTGATTCTTTCGTGTTTGCGGTTCACGAGTTTTAGTTAGGCGTCTGATAATTATCGAGGCTAGTATTTTAGATACTATATTAGTTAAACTAATCCCTCTATCGTTGTCACATGATGATTTTGACCCTTTCTTATATATTGGGACAATAAGTGATTGTGACCAGTCAGCTGGAACAACGTCTAGCCAGCTTGAACCTAACCGGTAATTGGTTAGGTTCTGTAGTTAGCCAACCTACCAGAGCTGATTCAACTCTCTAAATAGATGAAGTAAAACACTAAAGAAATTATCTAGAAAGTAAGAAGAAGTTTTGTGGTCACACTATCCAGCTGAAGAAAATGCAAAACCAAAATAAATGATGTACTTAATCGTCTTATTTATTATAGTACCCATGATTTCTGTGTCGAGTGTAGGACAGTCTGAAGGGTTCATACATAACTTTCATGCTAACATGGACAACAAACATGGTTCTTTTGTGTGATTTAAATAACCGCAAGTACTAATATTTTTTCACTTTGTACTTCTCAATGGTAGTTATAAGGTTACCAAATCAAAACATAACACAAACAAATAGTCGTAAAATATATTTAGTCCATGCATAAGACTGGGCTTGCTGAACGGGATTTACAATTATTTTCTGCTCAGGTTCCCTGTAATTTTTGATTACCGAATATCTCATATCTATTTTCTTTCTCGCTTTATGAGTAGAGCTTTTTCGTACCAACCTTATTTTTGGGTCACTGGTTCAAAATGGTGGGTAAAGTATTAAGATGTAAATTCTTGTAAACGTTCTGTATATTTTGGTTTTAACTTGCTGATGCACTAGTATGGAAACATAAATGTGCTTGTGTTTGCATATGGATCCTGAACAGTAGCCAGATTGGGCGCTTATTATGGCTGCAGTGTTTTGTGCATGGTCTTGTGACTGTTTTGCACAGTGTTTCATCTAAGTATTTCTCGTAAATTATTTTTATTTAGGACTGTCGACAGTAAACGAAACCAAAGCTTCATCCTATTTGTAACTTCTCCCTATGTTTCAAAATATATTTTCATTTCACATCTCATTTCTTTTCTTGATAACTGGTTGCAGGAAGGTTTCCTATGTTTAGTTATTACTATAGCTATAGTTCAACGATTTTGGCGCATAAAGGTACTCACAAGGACAATAACGTTAAGAGCGATGAGTAATTCCAGTCGTAGTTGTACTACTTATGTTATCAACTCGTTTCATTCTAGTGTCCTCTCATGCGTAATAAGTAGTACCTGAGACTCATCTTTTTGTTCATTAAGATGAAAGGCGGTAAAATAAGGTCAGTGATTCTGTCTTCGTAGTCAATCAAATTATGTGGGAAACTTTAGTGATATGATGGAACAAACGTAAAGGATAAGCTCATGGGTAGCTGAAATGTTTTGTATGGCTTCTGAGATAATTTATGGATAAAAGCGACAACCAACTGCAGGAAATAGCGCAATAACACTTCACTGAAATCCTAGTGCTGTAAAATCAACATAATCAGAGCAACAATAGAAAGATTTGAGACCGATTACAGGACAAGTAAATAGATTTGAAGTAATAGCATGTTAAGTTATTACAACACGATGGAGTAAACGTTATCCGTTTCAAACCGCATTCTTTAAGGTTTCGTTTATATCCCACAACTGACTCAAGGAATCTGCAGTCGTTTATCAGACATTTTTGCACTAATTTTGAGTTATGAATGTTAAATTGCAACTAGTTTACCGAGTAATTAAGATATATAGAGTTGAAAGGTTACAGGTAAACTTAACACTTTCTGTTAATCAAGTAGTAATTTGTTGATTGGGCATTCTATGTATAACTTTTAGGTTGTATAAGTTGATTTCAGACTGTTAGCAAAATCTTGTTATTAAATTAGTACTTTCCTGTCGTAAAAAGATACAGCTTCACCAATATATGAGGGAAGAACATTGGGTTATCCAATATGGACTACTTAATGTCCATTCGTGTAATTGATTGTTTTTGAAGCTTAAATTTAATGCCTTGTGTAACAATGCGGAAGATTGTTTTTGTTTACACTCACGGCATTCACCAAAATTTATTTTTGCCGCCATTCTCAACGTTTTTCTCTTAATCTGTTCATATTTGTGTAAGGGTATGAATACACTAAACGTAAATGGGATTATTGAGCTGAAACCAAGTTAATTAAACACTCAATTGTAAATGAAGACAGTTCATATCCAAATTTGTATGACGATGATTGGATCTTGATCAACCCACTAAGGTTTGAGCAATCCGGTTATTATGATACTAACACAAAGGTTGTAACTCCATTGTTATACTAAATCTTGCAGGTAAATTTAGAAAGTAATTCTTCCTGAAGAAATCGTATTTCTTGTCACTCGCAATAATAAAAGTCAGCTTGGGCACCGACGTTCGTTGCTTTGCATGCCTCAGAACCGATCACAATGTCACAGGTGTATACACTTTTCGTCTTCCCTTAAACCGTGAGAATAAAGTTGCTTTTTACCTTTCTACAAATTACTCCTCTTTCCCTGTATCATGTCCTTATATGAAA